TGAGCTGAGTCCTTACTGGTTCTTTGTGAATTTCAGTTTCTCCAGTGGTCATGTAAAGGTGAGGGCTCCCTTCCTGGTTCAGTGGTAAAGAGTCCACCTGCAATGCAGGAGCTGCAGAAGACACAGGTTCAATCCCCCGGTTGGGAAGATCCCCTGGAGGAGGGCATGGCAACACACTCTAGTGTTCTTGGTGGAGAATCCCCTGGAGAGAGGAGACTGGCAGACTTCAGTCCAATGGGTCACAAAGAGTCGGACATGACTGAGTGACTTAGCAGGTGCACACACAATGTAAAGGTGATAGAGCTGTTGAGAAAATTAAATAAGACCACATATACAAAAAGTCTAGCTCGCAATCCTACGTAATAAACAATAACTTCTGCTCTTTGCTTTTTCCTCATAGAAGTTCAGTTCATGAGGAGAAGAAGAGTGTGGTCACTGGTTGACATTTGGGGGTGGAGCAGGTTAAGGGGGACAAATCATAAAATAGTGAAGGTCCAAAGGCAGGCTGTGTTTGAGGGAAGCCTTTCTTTCTATACCTTACAACATTTTCTGATTCTGAGGAAACTTGGAGGGTAGAAACATGTCTTGTTGCCTTTGATTCCCCACCATCTGGTCCAGGACAGGCAGCACTGCCACAAGTGGTACAACCTGGGAAGTAGCCTTTGATTTAACTCTTTGCATGCAGGAGTTTGTAAGGGTTTGTTTTCCAGTTTAGTGCCTGCAGGGGAAGTGAAGGAAGAAGGCTTAGGCAGAGATCTCTGCCAACACTGCAGGGATAACTTTACCAAGTTGTTCTGACTTGACCTTTACACTCCTTTCATCGACCCATCATTGGTTGTGGGCTCTTACAGGGAGAGGATGTGACTTGGGAGAGGTGGCTTTCCTCAGCTGAGGACAGTTTCAGGAGGGGTTTAGCTGTGAGCTCTCAGTGGCTCCCATGAGTAGAATTTTGTCCCTCCAGAAGATGTTGAAGTCCTGACCCCTCAACACCTGTGAATGTGACCTTATTGGAAAAGTGTCTTTGCAGATGATCAAGATGATCAAGTTTAGATGAGATCATTAGGATGAGTCCTAATCCAATATGATGTTATCAAAAGGGGGAAATTTTGACAGAATTAGACATGAGTAGAGGGAAAATAGGGTTTCCCAGATGGCGCTAGTGGCAAAGAATCCACCCACCAACGCAGGAGACATGACACCTGGATTCCATCCCTGGGTCACAAAGATCCCCTGGAGGAGGGCATGGCAACCCACTCTAGTATTCTTACCTGGAGAATCCCATGGACAGAGGAGCCTGGAATGCTACAGTCCAGAAAGTTGCAAAGACTTGGACACGACTGAAGGGGCTAAGCACACAAGTACATATGCAGAGGGAAAATAAGGTGAACTCAGGCAGAATGCGATCTACAAACCAGGAAATGCTTGAGGCTTACCCGAGTCCAAGAGAGAGACATGGACCACATTTTCCCTCACAACCCTCAGAAGGAACCCAGCTCGCTAACGTCTTGATTTTAGACTTCCGGCCCCTAGAACTTTGAAGCAATCAATTTCTGTTGTTTGAGCGCCCCAGGTTGTTTGTGATACTTGGTTACAGCGGCCCTGGGGAACCGGAACAGCTCCAGTGCTCTGGAGAGCCGTGCCGGGTGAGCCTGAGTTCTTAAGTGGGGGTGCTGGGTGACTGAAACCCCCGCCCTGACCAGGCACCAGAGTCGCCGTCTGCGTTAGTTATTTTAAAACAAGAGGTCCTAACTAGCCAGTACCAACCGTGAAAGTTCAGGAAAGGTCGAAAGGAAGCGCCATGTATCCGACCACCTCCCAGAATGCTCCTTGCTGGACTCCATCTTGGCTGAGCCACGCGCTGGCCGCAGGAAGGACCCTGAGACGGGATGACGGGTCAGAGATAACCCGGAAACGAATCCCGTCACCGCAGGGCCTGAGAGCTCCATGAGGCAGGAGCAGTGCCCCTGGTTCTTCTTGCCTCAACCTGCTGCTCTCCGCCCGGCCGCCCTCCCCAGTAAAGCCCCTTGCTTTGTTAGCATGTGCGTCTCCTTGGACAATTCGCTTCTGAGTGTTAGAACGGAGCTCCCTTTCAGGCCCTGGGGGAGGCTCCGCTTCCCGCACACGGCAGTGTGAGCTGCAGAACGCCATGCTGTGGGATGAGAGAGCCCTCAGGGGACAGTTCTGAACAGCGCTGGCTCAGGTTACTCCTGGAAATAATTCAGTTAACATGGCAGTGGACTATCCTTTCTTCTAAAGACATCCCCGCACTCCACTGCGATGAAATACCCCGTCATGTGAGGCTACCCTGCGGCTGGGCCTGGAAACTGACAGAAAGAGAGGGCTCTGCTCACGCTCGGCACACCCTGAATCTGAGGTGCCCTAGAAACCAGGGTATTTATGGAGTTGGGGCTTAAGATAGGCTAGGACTGTTCTGGAGCTTATGGCCACTGCTCTAGCATTGTCAGTTTGAAAAACTTGTTTAAGGACGTGAGGTTTTAAAATACATCAACAGTCCTGGCTTTGGAGAAGGAGGGAGATATCCCAAAGTGAGTGTAAGGATCCTTTATTGTCACACTCTTAGTCTGCTTAAACGCTAAAGAGCAATTCTCTTAGGGTAGAAGAGAGATGAGGCTGGAGTCACGTCATTATAAATTGATGTTTGCTGGTACGACATGTATCTCTTTCTTATCTTTGGATTTTGTCCAGGTTTCAAAGGCAGGGATGTGTCTTATTCATCTCTGTAATCTTGTCACCAAGCAGAACTCCGATGCTGGGGACTGAATGTGTGTTTAGAGCTGGTGGGGTGGGTATATGAAATCGGCTTGCATAATCCTTTTGCGTCTTCCTGCAAGTTGTGGGTGTTAGCTATATTCTTCTTCCATCAATAGAACAGTGGGAGGGGAAGAATCTATTATCTCACTCAGGCCAACAACCAAATTGTCATCAGAGTTTGAATTGCAAAATCTTTATTTCAGGTCAGAGACAGAAAGAAAAACAGCTGGCTTTCTGCTGAACTCCAGGTAAGTGCTCAGGGCTTGAGGTTAAATAAGGTCATTGTTGCATGGACATGGAGGGCACGATTAAAGCCTTTCAGTACTCTCTAATTTTTGTTTTGGTATTGTATATAAGTTTATGCCCATTAAGGAAATCACACAGTTTAGTGCAGGAAGGTGCAGACATTCACTGCCTGCTTGCAAATCATACTATACAACCCTGAGATTCATGACAAGCACATAGTAGGTGCTCAGTAAATATATTCAGAGTGCAATTCCATGCTTTACGATAGAAACAGGTTCCCCAAAGGGAACAGGCCAGGTTTCCCTTGAAAGGTCCTTCAGGAGAGGACAGCCATCTTTTAGACCGCATTCTTCTCATCTTCCCTTCATCACCCTTCCCAGCCCTTCTTCCTTTTCTTGTGTATCTGTGAGCCTCCTACTCACGTCCCAGTCTGTAGCTCCAGCCCCAGGGAGGAGGCACAGCAATGGGGCCCTGGGCAGCTCAGCCTACTGGGTGCAGTGTTGGTGAGAACTTGAGGGTCCTCTGGAGGGAGGCGACGATCGCCACAGAGTGACGAGGATTGCCCAGTTTTCCCGCTCTCCTCCGTGCAGGGCGGGAGCTCTCTGAGGCACCCAGCCGCTATGGACTAGGGTGGGGTGAGGCAGGCAAAGTCTTCCCTACCCTTTTCCAAGTGGCTGTCTTTGGTTTTTGAGTTCAGCTGGGTTTCTGCTGCTTCTTCATTGTAATCTAGAACTTTCTCAGAGCTATTTTCATTTTCTATCTTGCAAGGGAGACAAACATTGGGACCTCCTGGCCCGCCATCTTTTTGACGTCTGTCCAAGATCTTCTCAAGATAGACCTTACCATAGTTGGAAGCATTCACATCATAAACATCCTTCCAGTTTGAGGAAAAAATGAGCAACACAACCCTACATGCTAGCAACTTCCCTCAACAGTATACAGAGTTGAGAGACGTTCTAGCCAAGCTGGAATGAACTCTGACTCCTAATGTGATTCTGCTGTATAGACTTTTCCAGATTGTCAGCTGTGTCGGGTCACCCTAAGGCCCCCTATTGTCAAATAAATCTTATAATTTCTTGTGGGGTTCTGGATAGCAGAGACTATCCATCACTTACTTGAACAAATGGCACCACACAGGCACCTCTTATAACTGATGTAACAAATATTTGCTTGATGACATAATGGCCTGTGAGGATTGGACCCTGCTATTAGCTTTGAGATTTAGGCAACTTTGAAAATCACATTGAATTAACTGTCTAGACACCTACTATATAAGATTGTGGTAAAGATCAAATGAGGACTTCCCTGATGGCTCAGTGGTAAAGAACCTGCCTGACAGTGCAAGAGATGTGAGTTTGATCCCTGGGTCGGGAAGATCCCCTGGTGAAGGAAATGGCCACCCACTCCAGTATCCTTGCCTGGGAAAGCCATGGACAGAGAAGCCTGGTGGGCTACAGTCCATGAAGTCACAAAGTGTCAGACATAACTTAGTGACTAAACAACAACAACAATAAAGGTCAAACAAGAGAGTGGCTATCAAAGCCCTAGACACACACTGGGCAATGCAGGTCTCTTTATTTCTCTCTGCCTCCTTCCTGCCCTGTCTCGGGCCCTCCCTCCTACTGGCCATTTACCTGCCATTGCCACCTCAGCCCTCAACACAGGACCCACAGTCTTTTCTTCTTCATCCGCAAATGCTTCCTTCTTCCTCAGCCTTTTCTCCCTTAGCCTCTCTCTTTAGCATCTCTATTCTGCCTTCTTTCTACTTAACATTCAGCTCACCCTGTACCTGACTCCTCTGCCTTTCTGAAGGTTTTATTTAAACACCTAGTCCCTCTTGCCTACCAAAAGACAGGTGATGAAGACTGTGTTGCTGAGGTTTAAATACCAGTTCTCAACTGCCTGCGGGGAAAGGACTCCTTATGGAGCTTGTCTTCTGCTCCCCACTGAAACAAAAGGGCTCCCCAACCCATGCAACCCACCTGCTGAAATATGAATAGGAAGAGACAGAGAGGCGAGGCCACGCACGTCGGGTGCGAACCCAGCAGGGCTTCTGGAGCTCTGCTCTGCGGAGCCCCACAGGACGGCTGGCATTCAGCGTGCCTCCACCCGGAGATGCAGATGGCTGCCTAGCCTATTTCAGGGAGCAGACAGGGAAGGGGGTGGGAGAGACTGGCAGAAGAGAACCACAGTTCCTTCCCGGGGCAGCAAGATGCCAAGACGCAAAGACAATTAAAAATGGATAAATTGAGGGAACACACACAGGGAGACAGTTTGAGCCTTATTAAAATGCATTGAAAAACTTTTTTTTTTTTTTGAAATAGGAAAAATTAATCTGATTTTTTTTTAAGCTACAAAAAGTAAATATCTCTTAAGATTGGCCTCTCCTAATAGGGTCAGTAGGGGCATGGCTATGTAAAAATAAATCCAACAGGACTTCCAACAGTATTTTCCTTAAAAAAGATGCCAATAAATTTGAATACTGCCAAGTTCCAGAAGAACAGATTGAATTACTCAGGATTAAAAATTCAAAAAAATTTTTCCATTTTAATTTCTTTTGAATTGCAAAATCTTTATTTTTGATTTTTTAAACTATTCTATTTTAATTTTTATTAAAATTAATTTTTCATTTAAATTTAATTTTTAAATTTAGTTTAATTTCTTTCCCTAGACTACTCCAGGGTGGGGAGGGTTCACTGTCTTTCTATAGTCTCTTCTTTTGCTTCCCCCTCCCCCAAGTGGTAGGCTCTATTTGCAAGAGATACAAATACTTATGGAGATTAAGTTAGAAATCACTTTGGGATTTCCCAGTAACAGTCTAAGAAGGGAGCAGTGTCCATATGTGAAGATGGTGAAACTATTAGCTCAGTGTAGTTTATTATTTTCTGATAGTGCATTCCGGGCTGGGCAAAGCCCACCTTCTCAGCCTCATTCATGTGAAGTCAATGAGTCTTCATTTAAAAAGTATGCTATTCTTTTATTTTTGGTCCTTTCTTCACCATTATAAATGTACTGGTTGCTGTTGTTTAGTGGCAAAGTTGTGTCCAGCTCTTTTGCGACCCCATGGATGTTAGCTCACCAGGCACCTCTGTCCGTGGAATTTCTCAGGCAAGAATACTGAGTGGGTTGCATCTCCTTTTCCAGGGGATCTTCTCGAACCAGGGATGGAACCCACATCTCCTGCATTGGCACGTGGATTCTTCACCGCTGCGCCACTAGGGAAACCATGAAGTTTACTAGCTCACATTTATCGCATAGTGCTTAAGAGCTTAAGCTTGAAAGCTGGATTTTCTTTTGGGTTCTATTCTATCCATCATTCTATTAGTTGAGTGACTTTGGGCACATCACCTCATTGCTCTGAGCCTTGGCATATTCATCCATAAGATGGGGATGTTAACCTTTGCCCCTGATGACAGTGAGATTAGCGTGGGTCAGCTTGTAAAACCCTGAGCAGGCTGTGTCTGGCAGGTAAGTGAGGAGTCAATGATATATTGGCTAATATTATTTCTGCCTCTGGGAGAGTTTGTATGACATCAACATAATAACTTCTGATACTTTCATAACATTTTGCAAATTTCAAAGCATTTCCACTTTCATCGCATCATGCGTCCTGTGAGGTTGATAGAGCAAGAATAACCTAATCTCTCTTAACATATTATATTTAGACACTTCCCTAAAACCATGCAGTTAGAAAATATGAGGTCAGGCTTGAAGGTCAGTGCTTTCTTAGTCCATTGCTACACTTATGAAATATTTATATTATGTTTAAAATTTAGTGAGTCCTTACAATGCACCAAGCACTGTTTGATGTGATTTACATCTATGATCTCATTTAATTCTTACAATAATTTGATTTAGGTCCTCTTATTTCTCCATTGTACAGATGAACAAACTAACAATTTAAACATTAGTATCTAGTCTCTTACCGTAGTCACTCAACATTTTAGGTAGAAATACTCAGGACTACTTTAAGCACATCTGAATTTTCCAGTGTGTAATCTTGAGGAATTTCTTTACATTTTTGCTACCTTCTCTGTAAATTGGGAATAATAATTCAAACCTACTTCCCAGAGTTGTAAGGATGAATTAAGATTTTCAAATGTCCTTTGGAAAAATAACACAGAGATACTAATTATCATAAATATGGCAGTAAGTCAGTTATACAGACATGTAGCTAAAATGACCACCGATGATGTGGGTATAATTATCTTTTTCCCTTTTAAAATCCCATTTTGGCAATCTATAGACACAGATATGAGAAGAGCTGCCTAGGAGCACAACAGCTGTATCATTGCAGTTATAACAACTGTGATTTCTTCAAAAAATGGCCAAATTAGTAACATTAGCAAAGCTCAGATAATTTGACTTTCGATGCCCTAACTGTCCACAGCCACATCTGCGTGGGTGCTGGGGTTTCCAGCTCATGGCTTCTGCACTGCTGGCTGGTAAATTCTGGATGTCACTCTTTATTGGAATTGAAGTAGTTCTAAATTCATGAATGGCATTTTAATATTTGTGCAGGTAACCCACAGGGAATCAGCAACTGCAATTGGTTTTGGCTGTTCATTCCTCAACCTGAAGTCTACTTAATGCAGTTGTTTGAGGAATGATGTCTGAGTAAACATCCGTGTGCACAGACCTGGGAGCCCCTTGACCAGCGTTGTTTACCTTCGTGTTTAAGGAAAAAAAATCAAACAGTGGTGAATGAAAGACAAGGCTATGAGCCACTGGACTGTCTTCTTCAAGAGTATCTCCAGGCTCGCAGGCTGCCATGTCTTCTGAAATGTTTTTGCATCTGTAGAACCTGGGCTCTGCCCATCCAGTAAAGGATCCCTCTTCTCTTCCTTTGTTTGTGGCTCCCCACTGCCTGAGCACAGAGCAGAAGCGTGGTGCGGGCCCCTCTACTCGGCGCCTTGCTGGGACTCCCGACTCTGTTAGCACTGTGGCTTTGGTCTTTACGAGTTCCCTGGCTCTTCTCCTCATCTGTAAAATGGGGATATTAGTAGACAGCTTTGGATTAAAGATAATGAAGATGCTACAGGTAAAAGTGCATACACAGTATAAAAATTATTTCAAGGACCTCTCTGGTGGTTCAGTGGTTAAGAATCAACTGAGTTCGATCCCTGGCCACAGGGTGCAGCCAAATAGTAAACAAACAAACAAACAAAAAACTTCACTGATGCTCAGTGAGTTCTCTACCATTGACACTCTTATAATATGAAGTTCTAAACCACAGGCCTTTAGGGAAAGGGTCATGGAAGGTGGGATGATTTAAAATGTAGGGTGCTTTACACTCATTATTTTGTTTTATCCTCACACACATTATTTTGCTTTATCCATGAAGTAGGTACTGTCATCTTCATTTACTCCATAGAGCCTGTAGAGAGTGTAAGTCATGAGTCCAGAGTGCCCCCAACCTAGTCAGAAGATGAAAGATTCAGACTTTGAACACTGTGTTCTTTATTGAAGAAAACACCAGATTTGGAGTGACTTTGTTCACGTGACAATGGTGGAGGTAACATTGCCCGAACCGTATCCATATACTAGGCCTGTGTAAGCTGTTCCACACCAGCTCATCATGTTCATAATAGCACTCTCCCCATCTTATGTGCAGGTAAACTGTGAGGTTACCTGTCTTACTGCAGGTCAAGTACGTGGCAGCATCAGGATTTGGCCCCAGGCAACCTGGTTCAAGACTCTCTGCTTTCTGTTCTGCGCAGTATAAACCGAGGCTACATTCACCTTTGCTGCTCTCAAGCATGACACTTCTCTGCCCTGGGCCCCCAGCTTGTGAATTGGCAAATGAGGAAGTCATTTGGACAAACCATAAAGCCCTTTCCTTGAGTCTATCCAATAGAGCTCATCAATGCTGTCATAATAAACAATCATATCAGGGCTCTCCTGCAAGCCAGGCCCACACTCACCATTCAGTCCATGAGTAACGGGCTGGGTGCCTTTTCTTTTGTTTCTGAGCTGGTGACATGAAGCTGAGGTTTATTAGGTAACAGAAAAGTGTGGTATCTCTATGGTAGGACCTTTCTCTCCTCTGAGGTGATTCCCCCTTGTTCTCCTTGTAATTTTCTTCCCAAATTTGAACTTCCTGTCTGTATATTCAAAGTCAAAATACAGGTGGCAAAGGGGTGGGTTATTACCGGGGCTGTGATCCTGGTCCCAAGTGTGTGGATGTGGTTGGCACTCAACAGAACCCGGGCATCGGTTTCTAGTTCTGTACAGTGAAACAGGCCAAACTGAAGCTCTCCAAACTTCCCCTCAAGGAAATGAAATTGTTCGTACATGTGTCCTTACACATGTTGTAATATTAGCTAGTAATGTCACCCTCACGATTGGTGGTCCCTATCTTATCTCGGTTTGCTTCACCAGTCTAAACCCTGCAAAATCCAAGTGGATCATGGTGGATGACGGTGGATCATTCAAATATAACCACATGTTAGTGCCAATGGCAACTCTGTACAGATGTGGTAACTTTCCTAGAGCCAACTAACACAGAATACTGCTCAGTCATTAAAAAGAACAAAATAAGGCCATTTCCAGCAACAAGGAAGCAACTCGAAATGATAATACAGAGTGAAGTAAGCCAAAGACAAATACAATATGACAGCACTTACATGCGGAATCTAAAATATGACACAAATGAACCTATTATAAAGCAGAAGTACTCACAGACATAGAGAATGGATCTGTGGTTGCTGAGGAGGCAGGGCGAGGGGGGGTTGGACTGGGAGTCTGGGGTTAGCAGAGGCAGACTTACACATAGAAGGGATGGATGGCAAGGTTCTGTGTATAGCACAGGGAACTGTGTAGTCAGTGTTCTGGGATAAACTGGAATGGAAAACAGTATAAGAAAGGATGTACATATACGTATAACTGAGTCCCTGCTGTACGGCAGAAATTAATGCAACATTGTAAATCAAATATGCTTCAATTAATTAAAAAAAACTCACACAGACTTAGGTACATGGTATGATGCTGCTAATTAATTTTCCATACTCATCAAGAAGTATGGTTAGGAATGGTTCACATGCACGAGAAACAAGTAGAAACACACAGTCACGGTCGAGTGATAGCACTGTGGA